ACATTTAATATATATATATATATATATATATATATATGTATATATATGAGGAGAGATTTGTTTACTCTAAGGGTAAGTTTACTTAGACTTACTCCGTTTAATAAATCATGTTTTACATCAAATTTTAACAATCCAATCGTTGAAATCTGCAAATTTTAAAAAAAATAAACTATTTAATACTTCATTTCATTAATTCAAATCAATGTATTAAGGACTTTAATTTCAATTATTAGATCGTTAAAATTGGATGTAGAACATGAGTTATTAAACGGAATAAGTTTAAGTAAATTTACTTTTGAAATAAATAGATTTCTCCTCATATATATATATATATATATATATATACACTTCAAGCATACATGTCGATAGAGCTTTGGTTTTTTGATGCTTTTATTTTGGAAACAGAAATTGTATGGGTGTTAATAAGTGGCTTAAGCACTTGATAACTTAGTTGAAATGTGTTTCAAAGTGAACAAGTAGCTATATGATGGAGGGGGTGATGACGTGGTCTATGAGGTAGCCATTTGAGGTTCTAATGACATTGTCAAAGGAAAGATAAATGGTTAGGACAAAACAATGTGAGGGTGAGATTAACATGAAGTTTAAAAATTATGGTGCACCAAAAATTGCATACTATAGTTTCAGTCTATTTTTGTTGTGTTAATTTTTTTTAATTAAAATAAGACAACGGAAACAACTTTTTATTGTGCTATTTTTTTTACAGAAATGAAAATCAGTTTTTATTATATTATTTTTTGTATTAAATGAAAAGTAATTTTCGTTGCATATTAATAAAGTCATAATAACCTCAAGTATGTGGTTCAGCGGTAGGGGTTGATCCACGCTTAAGCAAGGTCAGGGATCCAAATCCTGCCTTGTATATGCAGTCGCGTTAAATCTTGGGGCCAGCTATCTCACCCTTTGAGATGCCTCCAACGTAGCGAGGAGATTAGTCACTGCTATCGGCGGTGGATATTTCAGGAACAAACCTAAAAAAAAATAAAGTCATAATAGAGGTTGTAGAAAACGAGTGACGTGTATAGGGTGAAGAAGAGAATGCGAGGGAAAAAAAGGTGAAATAGAATTTTTAATTAAAAATAAAATAAAAAGGGGTTGAGAATAACATGGGCTTCAAATTTGAGCTTTGGACTTTGAATCTGGGTTCCAGTCCATAACAGATTTATTTTATATTTACTCTCTAAACGTTAAAAAATTAGATGTTTTCATTTATCATATTACTCCTACATCAATATTTTTTTCTTTTTAATTTATAGAAATTGTTGAGTAATTATGTTATTAGTGTAAAATATCTACTAATTTTTTCAATGATTAATTTTTATTAAAAAATTTGATTAGTCATTTTTAATGAAATATTTTCTTTTAATCATTTTTTTATACATAAAAATTAAACTTGAGACTTTATTTAAGAAAATTGAATCTACTATCATTCTGAATAATTTGTTGATTTTTATATGTAAAAATTTAACTTAGTATTAATGAGTTTATGATAGTCACTGCTTAATCGAACATTGATGTTGACAAAAGAACAATTTGAATAGAAAGGTGGACTGTTAGTTTACCTGCGTCAAGAAAAAAACAAACTTTGTGAATATTATTTTTCTTTTTATAAATTAAAAGAAGTTCTTTTGTGTGGTTATTTTCACACTATATTATTATTTTTAATTTTATACGAGTTGGACTAGTCTTGAACGGGGAAGTCATCGTAAATAAATAACTTTTTAAAAAATATAATAAATAAATAATATTTTCATTTATTATTATTTTTTAAAAAAATAAAAAATATAATAATT